CTGAGGTTTTGGATTGTACGCAAGCCCAGAGGTAGTTCTCTGTGACTGTTTCCATAAGGTGAAAGTGAAGATTGACTTGCTACTAATGAAACAATTAGAAGTCTTTTGTGAATGTCACAGGGATCTCACTAGTAACAGAATTTGACTTACGTTATGTTTTAAAAGGTGTTATAATGAAAATGATTTTTTAAAAAAATTACTTCAGTAGCTAGGTATGGTGGTTTTATTTTTCTTGATGTGTCTGTTGGCAGGAAGATGGACACTAGCCTTGCAGCCAGTGAGTTATGCGTGGCAGTCAGCTGAAGTACCTGAGACAGTCAAGGCAGTATAGTCTGGGTGAATTAATATACAGTTGTGTGTTCCATATCAAAATTGGATCATTTTGTGCTGCACAATGGGCTTGAGCTCTGACATGAATTTGGCTAGGACTTTGAAGAAGACTAGGTTAGTGGTGAGGAAGTCCGTTAGAGAGAAACAGCATTAGGAAAGGACAAAAATGTGTTAAAGTTTTTTGACTGGAAGGATCTGTTGGGTGCCTCAACTTGGTCTCCTATAAACCCTGAAATTGAACTGCTGAATTCTGGACTTTGCCACTGCTGCCTTTGGCACAAATATCTGTGAAGTTTTTTGCTAAAACCTACTCAGTACAACTTCATCAAGGATGACCAGTTTTTAAGAGTTACTTGGCACTGAGGTGGAAGTTCTGCTGTAGGGTTAGGGGGTTTTCTTTATATTGATGAATCATCAGAGTGACAACTGTCATTGGAATTTTTTCCCCTCGAGCTTGTTTTCCTATGAATTGGGTAACCTTAAACAATACTGTGAAAAAGGACATTGTAAAACTAGGAAATCTTGAAATAAGGTTGCTTTATACAATCTTAATTCATTGTTGTGTCACTTTATCCATGGACATCCATCTCATTCAGTGCAGAGAATTGTTGCTCCCTCTTGAGCAGTTATTTAATATTTTGTTTTCCCACCCTTAATTATGTCCTTGTATTATTTAGCACACATTGCTCAATTACTGTTCTGAATATATAATTCTTTTTTTCTTACAAGCTTTTCCGTAATGCTTTGTTTGAGGTCCTAAGAGTTTGGCACTTCTGCAAATCAGATTTCAAGGAATCTCAATGGAGACTTACACAAAATTAAGATCACAATTAATGATCATCAGGAGAAAGTTTGCCTTAAGCAACTTGACCAGCATCACAGTGAAGAAGGTGCAGGGACCATATACAGTTCTTCAATAAAATGTTCAACTGCTTTAACAATATGAGGCTACTTTTTTACTGGCTGACCCCCTGCGATGTTTGTGCATTTCTCAGTATCTTCAGTAAATGGGAAAGATATCTTGCAAATATTCTACAAACAATCTTTCATTACACACCTATGATTTATCCCTGAATATGGTGTGAACCAAGTGAAATATATAAATCCACATGGAAAAATAGTCAATGATAATATATTTAATGCTTGTATTGTAATAGATATATCTGATGTGACAAATTAAGATTGCACAGGTAACCTGGTTTGAAGAGTATCTTGATTTTGAGTGCTTGAGTTTGCAACCATAACGTTTTAAGCTCGCTTGTAATATTGTCAATATAGCAAGATAGAAAACCTTAACTTGGTTCTAGTGTTTTGGGACATACAGAAATAGGTACAAATGCAGGGTCAGCAAGTGTTTTTCCTCTCAGAAAATGTTTTGTAAATATATACTTGGCTTAAGCCTTATTTCTACAGCATTCATGTGTTTGTGTAAAGTGGCCTTAAAGAAGCCTAAAATCTATCCTGTTGTATATTCATTGCAAGATACGTGTTCATCAGTAAAACATGGTTTCTCTTCCTCAGTAATTCCAATGTTTTAACAAAAAACTTGTGTTCAATATTTGTTCCAGGGCTGTTGTCATGTGAGACATGCTTTTTTTTAACCACAATTCCTAAGAATCTCTGCCTGCTGCTGGTGGTTTAGATTGAAGGAGGAATGTAGTTTTGTAACTTGCATGTCTGAACACTTGGATTTTTGAGAATGCAAGTTCTTACTCCTTTCTTTGAACAACATTGTCAGGAATGATTTGCAGTACTCCTTGCACTCTCCTTTCTGTATCAGGTAGGCAGACAACACTTCCACTGCTTTCTACGTTAATAAATAGGATACTTTGCCTTTGGTTCTCAGACAAAAAA